CCTCCTCCGCCTCCTCCGCCTCCTCCTCGATTGCGAGGGGGTCCTCTCCTTCCATCCCCCCCCTTCCTCCCCTTCTCCAACACGGTTTCCATAACGGCGTCCCGTACTCCTTGCTTTCCGTTAGGGTCTTCGGGAGTTAGTTAAGCGGTACAAGTTCCGTACTGCCTCTCTGGAGCACCAGGTCGGTCAGTTGCAGTCCCAGGTCCTGGCGCTCACCGACGCCAACGAGAGACTGAAACAATCACTGGCGGTAGGAGGAGAGTGTTGGCGTGTGTGGGTGCGTGTGTGGGTGCGTGTGTGGGTGCGTGTGTGGGTGCGTGTGTGGGAGGGGGGGGAGGGGGGGGAGGGGGGCCTGTGTGGTGTGTGTGGGGGGGGTTGTGGGGAGGGGCTTTCGAAGGGGAACCCGGGGGCCGAGGGGCGGAGGGGACGGAGGGTCCCGGAGGGGAGAGTAGTGGTGGTGGTGGTGGTGGCGGTGGGTGGCAGTGAAAGGCTGAGAGGCAGAGCGCTAACGACGGCAGGAGGGGAGGGAGAAACGGGAGGGGAGAAAGGGGTAAACCCCGACATCGTGTTTGTGTTTGTGTGTTCGTACATTAGTCGCTCGTCCTCCTCCTCCTCTCGCTCCCCATCTGCCTCCCCGTCACATTCCCCCCATTTCCATAGGCCCTGCCAAGCCCGGCACACCGTTTTCCGGTTTTCTCCGTTTTCCGTACAGGAATGTTCCCGTACTCCCGCTGAGGTGGACCGCGAGGAGACCCTGCGGAGGCAGCTGGAGCTGAAGATCCGCCACGTCGAGGTATGTATGTATGTATGTATATATGTATGTATGTATGTATGTATGTATTAGACTATACACATATCAGGGGGAAGGATGTCGGCAAGGCGTGTGTGTGTTTCTCCTCCTTGCTCAACCACCTGACGGACCGACTGACGGACCGACTGACTGACAGACGGACTGACAGACGGACGTCATCCTTTGTTGTGCTGCTCTTATGGATACAGAATTTGGATCATGGTATGAGTGTACTGCGAGCCAAAATGGAAACGGATTCTAAGCTCTATCGACAGAACCTGGCCTCTGCGGCTCGAGAAAAGGACGCACTTAAGCGCCAACTGGTGGCCACAAACAAAACCCTAGAAGACCGGGACAAAGAGGTCAGTGAGTGAGCGGGAGGTTGGTCCGAAGTTGGGGGGGAAGAAGGGGGGGAAGAGGGGTTTGAGGGTTTTGGGGGAGCTGCGGGAGGAGGGGGGAATGAGAAATTGTGGGGTTGGGGTTGCAGCGCTTTGGGGTGAAAAGCCTGAGAGGGATTTTGTCAACCCTTCGTTTCCATCTTTCTAGTAAATTTTCTCACATAGTAAATTTCCTCACAGCACAACTCTTTACCGTACTGTGCATTTCGTACGGCGGTACTATGAACTTTAATGTACGGCGGCAGATCCGAGGGCTCAATATGGAGCTCCGGAGGTTGCGGCGGGGTGCGCCGCCCACCCGAGGGGGACTGCCGTACCACCCGCCAACGTTTGACGCCGCCGGAGGCGGCGACGAGGACGCCGGCGGCACGGCGGCGGCAGCCGCCGGCGCCGCCGCCGCGTCAGCGGCGGCGGCTGCGCCGCCGCCGGAGGCGGCGGCATTGACGGCACCGGCGTCGAAGCCATCTCTTCCGCCTCCCGACGGCGTTGAAGAGCGCATCCGCATCATGTTGTTGATTGTTCGTGATGAGGTGCGAGTGGAGGTGCCGGTGCCTATGTTGGTGGACACACCCGCAACACCGCTGGCGGGCAGTCCTCGAGGCTGTACGGATGCGGCGGAGGAGAGGCCCTGGGAGGGGCCGGACGAGGAGCCGCAGGTACAGTGTGGAGTGTATTATTATTATGTTGTACGGATGGTATGCGTATGTCTGTCTGTCCGTGTAGTACATTCACGTACTTGCAGACCGGCCCTGTGTTTTTCGCTCCCGTTCCGTTTAGCACCCTTGCGCATCTATCTACTTTTCTACTTTGTAAGCACCACCCGCGCATCGTACGTTCTCCGTACTGTTGCAGTCACGTAGTGTTTGGAAATATTGCTAGTTAGTTATGAGTCAAATTGAAATGATCTAATCTTCCCACTAATTTTTTGAATTTTCAAATGTTTTCACGAACAGCCATCGACGGAAGGCCGAGTCGAGATCGCGCCACAAGTCGACCCGGAACCCGCTCCTCAGCTGTCGGCTCCGGAACCCGTTACCAAATCCGCTCCGGAACCGGTTCCGGAGCCTGTGGCTCCCGAGCCAGCTCCGGAACCGGAGCCACCGGCGGCGGCAGCGGCGGAGGTGGAGCTGCAGGCTCCGGAACCACTGGGCGAGGAAGCCTCGGCCATAGAGCTGGCGCCTGGTGGTACGACGACAATCGACGGGGGTTATGAGCCGAGCGTTGTGGGGCTACTGGAGGAAGGCGCCCTGCTCGCGGAGGCGTCGGTGGGGAGCCCGGAGGTGCTGGCGGCTCTCGAAGACGGCGACGCCGCGGCGGCGGAGGCAGATGCGACTGATGCGGCGGAGGCGCCGCCCCTGGATGCCGCCGGGAACGGCAGCGGCGGAGCGATGCACGTCCACGCATCGCCGCCGCTGCCGGTTCCGTACTCCCGTACAGCGGCACGGGCGCTGGCGGCCAAAGTGGGTGGCATTAGCGCGAAGATCTCTGCGGGGCCTCACGGGCCGGCCGCCGCCGGCGCGGCCGCCGCCGGCGCCGCCGCCGCGGCCCCGGTACCGACGGGCCCTGTCCGCAAGCACAGCGGCGGCGGAGCCGCCGCCGCCGGCGCCGGCGCCGCTGCCGCCGCCGGGGCCCCTGTCGGTGCGGGCGCCGTTGGTGTCCGCGGCGGGTCCAGTCAGAAAGCAGTCGGTGCGGCTTCGAAGCGGTAGGGTGGTGGTGGTGGTGGCGGTGGCGGTGGCCCGAGGATGTCGTGTATAGGACTGTATCGGTACGTGTGGTGTAGCTGGCAGGGCGAGGTCTGTATGTATGTAAAGCAAGCGAGTCGCAGGTGATGATGACGCATAATCTGTGTGTGTGTGTGTGTTTGGGCAGGGGAGAAGGATGGTTGGGAAGGTGCCGGCGGAGGGGGGATTTGCCTGATGGGGTGAGTTACGCGGTCTGTGGGTGTGTGGGTGATACACCACCCCACCCACACCCGCTGGTGGTGCCCGCTTGGTGACTGAGCTCGTGACAGTTCAACACACATGTTCACAACAACAACAAAACACACACAACAACATATACACACACATATATGTATGCACACACACAGTGAAGCAATGTAAGCAGCAGCAGAGGTGTCGTACATTCGTCATTTTCTTGGCATAATTTATCCGTTAAAATGGAGGCCTTATGTTGTTGGCCTTATGAGGCCCCTCGTGGAGAGGGTTAACTTCCGTCGCTATTATGATAGGTTAAGGTACGGTTTGACTTTTGGGGGATAAAGTACGACACAGTAAAGCATGTACGACGGGTCCTGGCGGGGGAAAAAGCGGGTAGTTCGTTGGGTGAATAGGGCCCTATGAAGTACCCCTCCTTGAGTGACCGGGGCGATGTAAAGCCCGTCGGTGTGTGTGTGTGTATGTGTGTGTATGTGTGTGTATGAAGGTTACAAGTATCTGACCGGGCCTGACGACACTGGCCACACAGGGGCTGCTGCCCAGCCCCGACGTAAAGACCGCCTAAGCGTGCTCTCTCCCGCGGATGGGAGAGGGGCGCGAAGGGGGCCTCTGGCTCCCCCTAAGCAGCCCAGAGCCGCAGGTCCGCTGGCTCCGCTCTCCTTCCCCCCGCGGGGGGTGGGAAGAGGCGTCGCACGCGTGCACGCTCTCACGAGTCAAGGCGCCGTCACGTGTGTGTATGTGGGGGGGTGCAGTGGGTAGGGGGTAGGGGAGGGGAAATGGAGGAAGGAATTCCTCTCGGTCTCTCGCGTGTTGCGGTTGGGTGGTTGGATATGGTTGTTGGCTGATGGCGTCCTCCCCCTGCCCCCTCCCCCTGCTCCCTCACCCTCCCCTTTGTCGACTCCTTGCTTCCACTGAGGTGTTAGTGGTGGGGGTGGGGGTGGGGGTTTTGAAGGCGGTAAAACGCAGGACGATGTGAATGTAGCCCGTACACTACCGTACCGTACGGCAGGTTGCATAAGGTTCACGCTTGCGATGCAAGAGGCCATCTATGAACGTTGCAGCAGGATGTATGTATGTACGTATGTATGTCGGATGGCAACCTCGTGGTGGGGGTTGACGACAGATGGTGGTGGGTAACAGTATCAAAGAACGGCACTGGGGCGGTTAGCGACCTGATGGTGGTGGGTTGACTCTCAAGACAGGTATACCGGAAAGTAGTTTTTGTTGGTGGTTTGGTGGTTAGGTGGAGGGTCGCCCGTAATGCGACGTAACCACGTCGGGCTCCGTCGGTGCATACCTAATTTGCTGTCTTCTCCGTATCGAAGTGACGGCGGGATCCATTCTTATCCTGCCATTACTGCTGGCACAAGGTTTGCGTTGTTCCTTGTTCCGCGTCGCGATGGTTGCTGCATATGTGCCTGCGATGTGCCAACTTGACTCCATCCGACGCGTCGCATGTTACCTGGTGGCGCCCATATTAAGCTTGAGGCACTTTGAAACATTTTATTGGTCGACCCACACATAAATTTATGAGAATGACGAGTCTTATAGCTTTAGACAGTTACTACGAATAAGCAGGCTGGATGTACAAAGTCCATTGCTTAAACGTCATCGCGTGATCCGTACTCACTACTAACTTATTGTGGGGAAGGCCATTGCGTCTGCGACCACACTCCCGCGGTACCCAAACCCTTCAAAGACAATTCCGATCAGCCATTTGGCTGTTAGTGGGAGGGCGGGTGGGCCGCTCGCACGGCAATCGAGTAGAGAGTACGAAAATAACCTAATGCAGTCATCGACAGCAGAAAACGTAAGCCTCCAGCCTCATGCCGACTCTCTTACCTACCATTCATATTCTCTACCTCGTTCCCAAGACTCCGCCGCGTTGCCTCTAGTTCGGCTCGTGCCACAGGTAACTTCGCTCGTCGCTACTTTGCCATTCACCTTCGCCTCCACCCAGCCTCTGCTTCTCCACAGAAGCGGCGACCTCCTTCGCCGTTGTTACGCCTCGTCTATGCGAATCCTCCTCATCCGACTGTGTCTTCTGCCTACCCGGTGCGCGCCCCCTCTCTCTGCGCATCCTTTTCTCTGGCCCTCTCTTACGGTTGCCTACCTTACTGCAGGACTCGCCCCTTGCCTGTCCGGTGCCGGGCAGGCTTTCCTTGCCTTCCCCGGCCCTACTTGGGGCGCCCCTCCTCGGCTCGTCAACTACCTTACTTCCGTCCGTTCCTGCCCCTCGGGGGCCCAACCCCTCCGCCCTTTCCGTGGGCCCGACGCCCGCTCTGGACTTATCTCACGCCCCCGGCCTCTCCGATGCTGCCCCCCC